AACCAGAGCTTTAGAGATCCCATGAGGATGGAGGCTGGGGAAGGAGCCTTGTGGTGAAAGGGAGGAGCTGGGGGTGTGCGGTGTCCTCCCTGGCCACGAGGAGCAGCTGGGCAGGACAGGACACGCTGCGGGAGGAGATGTGGAGCAGCCCATGGCCAGACACAGAGAGCATGGGCTCGGTGCGAGGAGGGGGACCACTCAGCACAGTGGCTTTACGTAGAGGCTGGGAGCAAGAGCAACGTCTGCTGTGGGCAAGGGAGCAGGGTGGGCTTCTCCTCCACCTGGGAAATGGTGGTTTGCAGGGAGCATCTGGTTGCGCTTGTGGAATCCAGAGCAGGAGAGAGTTATGTCTGCTGCCAGAAGCGTCTGATGGATCTGAGACACAGAAGAGTTGAAGAGGGGTTGGGTTGGGTTGGGTTGAGGTGGGCTGGGGTGCTGGCATGCACCCCTTGTTTCTGGCCATGGAGAGACCCACTGCTTTCTCCCTGTCCTCAGCCCAGGTTTTGGAGGAACATCTTCTTCAGCCTTTGCTTTTTCTTCTCTTGGAACTGGAGAAGGGAAATGGTGATGGAATTTGGAGCCAAACCAGATGTTTTGCTCCATTCCTGCCAAACCCCCACCTTCTCTGCAAGGCACTGGTGATTGATAAGGCACCGTTTTGGCATTCCAGGGTTGCAGATGCTCCCAAACAAACATAGAGGCCAGTTTCCCCTAAAAACGCTGGCAGGACACAGCCAGAAAAATAGCAATGGGGAGACACTGGGGGTAACTGGGAGCCCCCGTCCACCTCCCAGCCCCATTGCACTGTGCTGCAGGCGCAGGACCTGGGCTGCGGCTCACCCCAATGCACCCTCACCGGGGTGCAGGGGTGAAGGGGTGAAGGGTTGTCCCCGTGTCCCTGCCAGGCTCACGGTGCTGGCATGCTGCTCCACATCAGGCTGGGGGCAGCCGGGAAGGGGGCCAATGTGTTGGGGACATCACTGACCCTCCTTCTTTCTCCCACCATAGAGCTCCTCGGCGTACCTCTCGGGTCTGTATGGAGCCCCCCCGTCCGGCGCCTTCCCCCATCAGCACCCCGTAAGTGCCTGGCACGTGAGATCTTCACTTGGGTGCTTTGGGAGGGTGGGCATGGGGCCGGGGCAGGCAGCCACCCCCCGTCCCACTGGTCCCTGACCATCTCGCTCTTCGTGCCCTCGCCAGATGCCGGAGCAGGAGGTTGTGAATTTGTTCATCCCGACGCAGGCGGTGGGGGCCATCATCGGGAAGAAGGGGCAGCACATCAAGCAGCTGGCACGGTTTGCTGGTGCCTCCATCAAGGTGAGCTGCGGGGCTGGTCCCAGGCTTCGTGCCTCAGTTTCCCCTTCCTACTGAACAGGAGCCCTTGGGGAGCAGTTTTGCTCCATAAATCAGTAGAACCTAGTCCTGCAACACCCCGGGTATCGCTCCTGCTTGGGTGGGAGGGAATGTCCAGGCACGGGGGGATGTCCCACCCAGGGGAGGTCTGGCCAAAAGCAGGGTCACACTCAGGCTCCTTCTCCCCACCCCTCTGCAGATCGCCCCGGCAGAAGGTCCCGACGCCAGTGAGCGGATGGTCATCATCACGGGGCCGCCCGAGGCACAGTTTAAGGTGCGTTGGCCAGGGGCTGGGGGCTGTGCTTGGGGTTGGGAGGGACACTAAGGGACAAATCACCAGCATCCCTTTGGGCGCTGCTGTGCTGCCAGCCTGGGCTCGTCTCCCTCGGAGCGCCGGGGGGGCTTTTTGCTCGCTGCTGTGGTTTGGATGCTGCCAGGCGCCGGCACATCATCACCCGGAGGGATGGAGGGTGCTGCAGGACCGCTCTCCCTCCCCCGACCCCCAGTTTTACTTCCCTTAACGTCTCCTCCCCAAGGCCCAGGGGCGAATATTTGGGAAGCTGAAAGAGGAAAACTTCTTTAACCCGAAAGAAGAAGTGAAGCTTGAAGCTCATATCAAGGTGCCTTCCTTTGCCGCCGGCCGCGTGATAGGCAAAGGCGGTGGTTGGGGGGGTGCGGGGATGCTCCCCCTGCCCACCCTGGGGCTGCAGAGCTGGGCATTGTCCAGCCCCCCCTGCCCACCCCAGGGAGCAGAAGCGGGGTGCTCGGAGGTTGCAGCAATGTCTTGAGCCCAGCCCTCTGGTGGCTCTCGTTGGGTGGTGTCCCACTGGGGGGAACAGGGTGCACCCCTCGGGAGCCGGGGTGCCAACTCTGCGTTTGCTCCAGGTGAACGAACTGCAAAACTTAACGAGTGCAGAAGTCATCGTACCGCGAGACCAAACCCCAGACGAGAACGAGGAGGTCATCGTTAAAATCATTGGGCATTTCTTTGCCAGTCAGGTAAGGTTCGGCCACGGCTTTCCCAGTATTCCCAGCCCGTTTCACCCACCGAGGAAAGCCACCGAGCTCAGGGCAGGCGGAGAGCATCCTGCCGCTCTGCTTTGGCTGGCTCCTGTGTACCCAGGACACGCTGAAGGGGTTCTGGCAGCTCTCCCCAGCTGTGCAAGCATTGAAATTAAAGTTTGGCTTGATGGAGCTAAACCTCGTGTCTCAGCCACCATGCACTGGGGGTGATGGGCTCCTCCCTGGCATCGGTGCCGGCAGGGAGCTCCCACATCCCCCCTGGGTGCCTGTACCAAACCCTTGACTCCCCCCTGCTCCAGCAGGAGGGCAGCACCCTAAAAAAGAAAAACAAAACCCTCTGGGGAGCGATGGAGGAAGCCCTGCAGTGCTCCGCTTGCAGAGCAGCTCCTTCAGTGCATCCTTAATTCCGGCTGTGCTGAGCCACAGGATTGTCCTTTTTTTTTGGGAGCAGCGAGATGATGTTTGGCTTTGGAGAGGGGGGGGACAGCTGCTGGTGGTGCCCACCCTGACCCCCGCCTCTTGCTTCTCCCCCCACCCCAAGACTGCACAGCGCAAGATCAGGGAAATCGTCCAGCA